TTATCATCAAGTGAGACTCAATAGTAGGAGATAAAGATTTACATTATGAAGAGGAACCGATTGTGATTCTTGATCGGGATGTTTGGAAGTTAAGAATGAAACAAATCAAATCAGTAAATGTTCAATGGAAGTATCATTTGATTGAGGAGGCTACTTGAAAAATCGAGAGGGACATGCGAGACAAGTATCCTTATTTTCTTAAGAATCCAGGTACTACACTTTTTAAACTTAGCCCAGTTTTTCTTGTTGATCACTCGGGGACGAGCAATGGGTAAATTAGTATTTATTATAATGACTCATTTCGACCATTATGAGTAGACCAATGGTGAATGAATTGGGTTAAAAACCCTTTTGGGTAGAAACTTGAAAGTTTTAGGTTAGGTCAGTCTTATATGAAATCTGGGTGAGGTAAAGTCTAGGGAAATTCAGGAATGGGTTGGGTGATATGTCTAATCTTGGTTTATATTTTCTAGTAGCCAAAACATTAAGGAATCCATAGGACCTTGTAGAATTAAATTCTTGGAGTAAACTCCCGGTATCGAACTTGGCGTGAAGGGGTTAGTATGAAACATCAAGGGTTAAATGTATGTAAACATGGGCTTTTGGGAAGATTTATAAGTCTCTGATTACGTGCAACCCACTATAGCAGGTGTCACAGCGCTATAGCGGGGCGACTTTGCAGGCGCTATAGCGAGTTGGACCGTTATGGCGATGCCGCTATAGCGGGCCACACCACTATAGCAGGGTAAGTCAGGATATAATGCAGAAAAATTTCCAAAATCCTTTTATTTTTTGCATTCCATTCTTGAAAAGAGGAAAGATGATTTAGGGCATTCTTTTACAGTTTTCCACCAATCTCTTCGGTAAAAGTATGTGAATTACTCTATTAACTTGTACATTATTTTTAAAGCCTTAGAATCTAGAGGGTTACTCTTGTGGGAGGATTTTAACTTGAATTAATGGTGGAAAGAACCCTTGTTAGGTAGAATGATCATAAATTGGCCTGTAATTTAGGATACGGTTACAATCCAGGTATTGTTAGACCATTATTGATTGATTGTTGTATTTTTATTATTGTTTAGACCAAGAACATGCCAAGACACTTCAAAAAGATAACGTTTGGTTTCTTTAGAGTTTCTAAGGCTTGATTCGAGGTAGGTGATGATTTGTTGTTCTCCAAAGCATGTAAAGTATGCATGTTAACTGCTTTGTAGTATTATTGTGCAATGCACATGATGAAAACTAGAGGGAGTGTGAAATGACTTCATGTGATAATCTCATGCAATGAACTTGTCTATTTACTTGTGGTTTCAAATTAGTTGTTCATTAAGGTTGTGATTGTGTATGATGTTTGTGACTGATGGTTGATTCGGGTACCACATCGGTATAGAAATTCTAACGATTTTGGCTCAGATACCACATCTGATATGAATACTAACACCAGTTGACTTGGGTACCTCACCGATATATGAACAATTTGTGTGTGGATCCCGTGAAAGGACTGAGTATGTGCATTTGTGATCATGTAGACATGTTTCATGCATTGGTTAATGTACGGATTGTGATTGGTAATTTTCATAAAGTTGTGACTGTTGATATTTATGTGTTGGCTGTATTACTATACTATAGTTACTTGTTTATATTCGTTAGTTACTTGTTTATATTCGTATTTTGGAATTGACCGTATGATCCTACCAGTACACGGTGTTTGTGTACTGATACTACACTTGCTCTTTCTTTGTGGAGTACAAAGCACATTCAGACGGTTGCTTCGAGACCTCAGTTGAGAGATGCATGACTTTGAATCCAAGGGTGAGCTAATCTTCCGTGCTGCCATGTGTTCTTATCCAGTTCTCTGTCCATCTTTTTGGACGGGGACATCTGTTAGACTTTAGTTTATTGTTTTCTTGGTTGGGGCTGTATCCCCTTATTTAAGATATTTAGAGTTTTGGTACTACAATTTTCAAATTTTTGAGAATTATTTTTTAGGTCGGGTTAGTAATTGATTCTCCTACCTGTAACGACCCAAACCGTCGTTATTTAGGAAAGGAAAAACGTCAGGGGAAACTGGGCCCATTATCCCGTCAGAGTGGGCCAGAAGCCGCTAGGGCGGCGGCACTCCAACGGGATAGTGCGTGCCAGCGCAGGATGTACGGGACATAATTTAAATAACGCAAAGTCTTATTTTCTTCTTTTTCCTAAAACACCAAAAAGAGGCGAATATCACCCCAGAAACCCTCAAAAGGCTGCTCTAGGCTTAGAAAGGAAGGATAACGAGATTTCTAGCGTAATGATGTCGATAGCTTGCAGATTTCCGATCAAAATCCACCGTCTAGTTGTCTGGAAGCCAGGATTGGAGCTACAATCCCTCTGCAATTGCTTGACCCCCAGGTAGGCTATGTTTATGTAATTGAGTAGTCTTAAATCCATGTTCACTGCGTAGTATATTGATAATTGACAGTAGAATTCATGCGTAAGCCTTTGTGCACCGAAAAAGGGATAGTTGTACCTAATTCCTAGTTGTTACATAAGATGTGTACCGTAGGGGAATCCCCGTCCTATGAACTAGGGGTAAGTGATGGTTTGATTTCATGTTTATGTAATATATATTGGTAATTGCTTCATTATAATGCATGCATGTATGTGAATGAGAACTATTGATCAAACCTAATGAAATGAATATGAATGAACAATTGTATGCCATGAATCAACACTTGATTGCATGATTATGAGTATGTACATTATGAGTGTGAATGTGATTGTGGTTGTGTTGATTGGACCGGGTGTCACGTTCCGACACATACACTGGATCGGGTGTCACGTTTCGACACATATATTGGATCGAGTGTCACGTTTCGACACACTAATTGGATCGGATTTCACGTTCTGACACACTAACAGTTTGGGTGTAGGTTCCATGAGATGACCATTGTACTGTTGTATCTACTTGTTATTGAGGATGTGGAATTGTACAATGCTCCTGAAGTGATAACTGAATTATGCGTCATGTATATGTGTGCGTACCATGTTGTTTTTAATTTTTATATATATGTCTCGTTAATAAACGAACGGTGAATGGTCATGTCCAAATCGGGATGTGGTATGGTAAGCGGAGACCGAGGGTCCAATTATTTACTATGGGTTACTTTGGAGAGGTGGTCTGTGTTCGTAAAGTTTAGAATTGGAGTGGCATTAGGTCGTAATTGTTAAATAGATAAGTATTACCCTGGAAGGGGATTTGTATTGAAACAGTTAACATGCCTTGATAGAACGTATTATGGAGTCAAGGGTTGAGTGGTGATGTGTAAAGAGTAAGGGTATGCGACGTGAGTGGTTGGCCAGGTTGGTAGTGGTTACATCCAGAAACCTCTCTAAGGGATAGAATGGCTAAACTATGATCAAGAACGGAGCGATTAAGGGGTTAGAGTTAAGTGTACTAGTATGTTGTAAAGTATTTAGAATGGTAAGAGTAGAAGGATATAAAGGTGGAGGAATGAACAGTCTTGTTGCATGTTTCTTGTTAGTTTATTTCTTATATTATGCGGTGGGTATCTGGTTGACCAATGATGCCTACCAGTACGTATGGTTGTACTGATACTACTCTTGATATGCCATTGGCATAGTCTGATTGCAGGGTCAGTGATGTTTCATAGGTAACAACTTCAATCTTTTCTTCCATGTGGTGGGAGCTGCGTCATTTATTATTATGTTATATCGTGTAATCTAAGAAGCTCTTGTACTTGTTTAGACTAGATCCCTGGGGGAGTTAATTACTTTATAAGTTAACTCGAGTTGTTTAAAATTCTTTATTTTATAAAATCTACATGAATCTTCTTTTATCTTAGTTTTCTTAATATTCCGCATGTTTTAACTGTTTGGGAATCAAGGGTTCTCCTACTTAGGTGTTAGAGTAGGTGCCCGCATGATCTGGTGGGTTGGGTCGTGACACTACCAATGAGTTAGTGTTGTTACAACTCGCGATAGGTTAGGGTCATGAAGTTATTGTACAACTTAATTATCTGACTCACACTCGATCGTATTCCAAATTAATGGAGAAATGTATTCCAAATACATGTGTTATACACGTGGACATAGTATGCTCACTTGAACTAATTTTAGGCCTTCCTCACATGCTTTGCACAAGATAGTCTAGAAGATTCTTGGTATATATTTATTTCTATTTTCTTGTTATGCAATTAAGAGTTTGTTACATAACAATCAATAAGAGTGTGGACAAGTATACAATTAGTTACTTGATTAGGGACAAGTATACATTTAGTTACTTGATTAGGGAAAAGTATACAATTAGTTACTCTTCTTTGTCTATATAATTAGCAATGTATAGTACATCAAATACGAAGGAAAAATTTCTCTTTAGTAGAATAAAAGAAATAATTTTTTAAAAGTTTTTTCAAAAATGTCCTTATTAAAATAGATACGTTGACGAAGACACACTTGTTTCAATTTGATACTCTCTATTATATAATAATATAAATTAGCAATGCAAGCACACCAGGAAAAAAATTTCGCTAGGCTCTTTTCTTTCACACCTCCTATTTTGATTTGCATGTACTATCTTTCCTACTAAAGATAAAAGTAAGTTAAACATATATCTCTTTTATTTTCCTTAATTATTTCTTTCTATTTTTGTTGTTTATTGTCCTACACAGAAATAATTAGTATTCCTCTTACTATCGTATCAATCCCTTTTCTTTTGGAGAATATTTTCTTGATCCAAACTTTACTTATGTTAGTGTAAAATATGAACTACAATAAAATTGTGGTAGGTTGCAGGGACGGCTCAATAGAATAGATAGTCTAAAGCAAAAAAAAATAAAAATAAAAAAAAAAATAAAAAAAAAAAAATATATATATATATTATATTACCCTTATTTATAAATGACAGTTAAAAGGACCAACACTGCATCAAACTAACCGTACAATGTGCAAAGAAAATTGTACTTCAAATTTGGGATAAACATAACTCTATTCAAGACACATGTATCAATTATAAGAGGTGTCCAATTCACTTTACCTTAATATCATCGCCATGGCTCTTGGAGTTTGCCTACAACTCCTGTGCTTGCTGCCTTCTTTGTTCTCAAACGTGAGTTTTGTACTATTTTTTCTCTATTAACATTCACTTCGCTGGGTCTCTATTAGTTCTTCTACGTTCACTGAGTTTATAGCTCTGTTTGATTTGTGGATGCATTATATACTCTCTCTATTTTCATTTCCCCCTAAATTGGAACATTATATTGCTACAATCTATTTGTTTTCTATTCTGTTCTTCACACTAAGATTGTAGGTATGGCTATATGGGGAAAGTAAATAATATATGTATCAGCAAGGGCGGAGGCAGCATATACTTAGGGGGTTCATCCCTCGACGGAAAATATTTCTATTTATACAATGTTAAAATTATTTTTTAGGTATGTATAGTAGATGTCGAATCCCCTTCCACTAGTTCGTGTGTTTACTTCTCAGATTTTGAACCCTTTTATTAAAAATTCTGTCTCCGCCACTGTATGTATGTGTTGAAAGAAAGATAAATGACATTCGTGCATCTAATGACTTGATTACAAATTACTTAACTAGAATGGTATGAACTACACTCTTTTTAAATCTTATTGTTTTGAGTTAGTTGATGACTTGATGCACACCATGTGTTTGTTGTTGTGCCTGAAACAACTATATAATATTTGGTTGTTGTTTTTTTGGCCTTTTGACTGATGCTATTTTACAAAATACTCATCTATCATTCATGAATTCGAGAAGTAGAATATTTAGTTCTATTGAATAGTATTTATAAAGTCTATCAATGGGGCATGTAGTTCTGTTAGAAAAATATTGCCTCTCTTTGTCATTTTCCGCACTTCCTTTCTTGAAAAATATGAAATTTATAGCTACTTTGACTTATTTTTTTCTAAAAGCTTTTTTGAGAATATTTCAATTGATGTTGAATGCTCTTTTCAATGGGTGCAGGGTGTGATGAAGTATCAAGGTCTTATTTGGATTTTTTTTTGAAGAAATTTACTGCGGAAGTTGAATCAAATGACAAGGTTGTTTTGAATAATTGTAAGGTAAGTATGATGTGAAATGAAGTTTGACTTGCTCTATTGGTTTATTGTCTTATTTATTGTAGGTTGTGGTCACTGTCTTTATTGGTTGTGACACATGTTTTGTTCTTAAGAATAAATTGATATAGGTACAAAGGCATGCATTTTACAGTGGTCTGATCAATCATTAAAGAGTACAAAGATGGTTATGCTGATTTTGAGAATTTTTTATCGCCTCAATTTGTTGGATTTACAAGTAACCCAATGTGTCGTCTATTTTTAAGCTGTTTTGATAAAAAGAAAGGATTATATCTAAAGATGCACTTAACTCCTAATTCTTACAAAGTCTAATAAAGAACCTTTGGTATGATAATTTATCTCTTGATTCATATTTTTAGTATGGTTATTGCAGTTAGTAAAAATTGCAAGGCTTCTAAAGGCAAACACATCTTGTATTTGTGTCATATTTTCACACTTTGTCCCAACTTCTCAGTTCATCTTTCTCTTTATCTCTTCCCCTCCCTCTTATTGTTGTCCCTGTCTCTCCATACAGAACAAATAAATGTAACTAAGAATTCTATAACTACTGGTGATAGAAGAAGTACAATCTCTTAAGAATATATATATTTGATCAATTTTAATTGGTAAGTCCTCTTTGTATAGGAGTCGTAGTTAGTATTAACAACCTGCATTTTTTTATGTATAAGGGAAGAAATAGGTTACTCTTCTCGACATATTTGATTGCCGGAGCAGACGGCAGATATATTGTTGAGTGTTAAAGTATATTACCCTTTTGATTTGATTTATGTTGGTATAAAAATATTTCCTAGGTCATATATATTGTACTTAGCAACCTTGACGCTATGGAGATTTCATTGTTTTTCTCTGCTACTACTACCAATTTTTCTATGCATCTGCACATGGGATAGTCATCTTGCACTCTCCATTTGATATAGTTCATTTTCTTTAGTACCACAACACCATCAAATCTTCTGTCAAGGAAAAGAATGTCGCTAAGAAATTATATAAGGCATTTCACACTCGCTTTTCGCAAGGAAGAGAATACCTGGAGAGGAAGGGAATCATCATAGGTTGTATTTTAAGTAAAGATTTGAATGCCAATGAATTGAGCAATATATAAAAATATCAACCTACGAGCTAATGCAACCTAATAAAAAAAATACTATTGAGCAACTATAGAGTTTTAGGTTAGGTAGTATACATTGAACATCTATCTTTTCAATTTTCTCATCCCGTTAAATTACAATCTTTATCTGTTATACATCAATAATGAGATGTTTGATTGTTATGTTCGATATTCAAACGGTCATGTGAGATTCGTTTTTTATTACTGCATAAGTTCAACTGTTCCTACTTGATTTTTCAAAATTCTCGAGTATTTGGTGTAATATGAGATTCATATGAAAGGTATTTTCTTCTATTGTATGAAAGAAACTCATATGAGAATCTTTTGAGTACTTAAAGTAATATGAAATTCATCTTAAAGATGTGCTTTGTGATATCATGTATTCGTATCCAAGATTTGATGCTTCATCTGCTTCTTTAGTTTAGTAAGAATTATTTCATGCTATTGCATGAAACATTTGACTGGTCTCCTACTGCTCTACGCTAGCTCGAAAGGTATGGCTACTCTCTTCTTTCCTGCTGAACATCATCAAGAATTTCCCCCTTCTTCTGCTTCACCCGGAAGATTCTCAATACAGGCTTAACAACCATCCCTGCTTACATTTTAAGAAAAGTTTAATAGTGACCGTCAAGCTTCACTAATAGATATGGTTCTCCTATAAGGAGCATGCTTGCCCTATGTTTATTGGTGTGCTAAGTCATGTAACTTAATGTTGAAACTTAGCGTACAAGATATAGCTTAAATCTCATAAATTTAATAGGCAGAGCATATTAGTCACTTGATATAATTCAACGTTCCTGAATCAATTTTATATTTCTCAGTGATTATTTTTTATACAGATGACTTCAAGCTAACATGATTACTGATTTCTCTCTAGGTTGATGATAATCCTTCTTTGACAAATGCTTCCAAGATGTAGCATCTATTATTGCGAGAGTTGGTCTTGGGGCTCACTGCATTAGCATAGGAAGTGTCCGACATGTTTGAGCAAGCTGTTGGCAGAAAATACACTGCGAGGATATTACTAACATTGAAGAGTTCTCTCGCCATTTTGGAGCTGTTGATTTGAGGTAAAAAGATGGACAGAAAAGGTGCTTATGGCTGAAATGAGATAGGTTACTATTAAAAAAAATTACAGCCTACAAATTTCTATGTCTATTAATTAGTTTAGAATTGTATCTATGTCTCAGGATACCTGATAAAGAGAGAACACTAACAGAGGCTTGAGCACTTACCATCTGATCTGATCCTACTAAGCAAAAGTAATCACTTGGAATATTTAGAACTGGCAAGAAGAAGACGCACTTCTTATTCTCATATTTACGCGTGACATTGTTACTCAACAAGAAATACTTGAAAATTGTAGTTAATAGATGGTGCTATCATATTAGAAAGTATTTGTTTTGTAATCTATAGCAAGAAAATCATCTGAGTTCAGTAAGTAAGGGGGATTTGCCAAAGTGTCCTCTCTTTTATGTAAGGCATCATTTTTCTTCCTGATTTTACAGATGAACTTACAAAAGGGAAGAGATTTTCAGTTCTTGGTTTCCATGGAGAACTTTTCCATCATAATTTAATTTTGACTATGCCTATTTAAGCTTCTTCTAGAATTGCTATGTTTTATTTTCAAATTGGATTTTAACATGCATGATTCCAAAAAAAAATAATGTGCAGGTACTGGTCACGTTTGTTATGGCATTTTGGTTGCTGATCGTAATGGTTGCATGGCTACTATGACCAACTTGAAGAGAATTACCACATGAACATATGTTGTTGAGATTTGTGTAATACACAAAGCAAATGCTTTTGCTTTCTCACATATATGCAATATTATCAACTTCTTCATTGCAATGACATTGTACCACCCACTCACTAATGTGAGAAAATGTCTCTTATATATTATCCTATTTTTTGTGAAAATGATACTCCTTTCATGTACTCTATCTAGCATATGTATATGTGTGTGTTATTTTCATAATTTCTAAAAAAAATATTATAATTTAATAATTAGTTTTTCTTTTCGATTGACAGTATAACATTTCTTGTAATATTTTGTAAGACAAGAATAAACATATATAATTTTTTTATTCTTTTTGGTAACTGTAATTGTATTACCAGATTTTCAAATATGTACAAATTTGAAGCTTAGGACATGGATAGAATCCCAAGTCTCAAAGCCCATCACCTTTGCCTTGCCCAGGCTCTATGCTAGAATTTCTACTAAGGATAAAAATTTAGTTTATGCATTGCACTAGCCAGTCTAGGATTCATGCTACTTCTACAATGAATTTCATGAATAATTTGCTTTATAATTTCCTCTATGCTCCTCTCCTTTTGCCGAAAAATTCTGTGATTCCTCTCTTGCCATATGTAATAAAGAGCTGCAGCTAATGTCATTCTATACACTTCATCTTGTATTGATTTCCTGTTAGCATGCAGTGTTGCCCATTCTATCTCTTCAGTCCACCCTGCACTACTTCTGGTGATGGACAGCCATTGAAGTAGTCTTTGCCATATCACATCTGACACTGCATGCAAAAAATAGGTGCTGGTGTGTTTCAGGTTCTGCTTTGCACATTGCACAAATTGAATCAGTGTTTATCCCCCATTTGTATTGTTATGTAACGTATAAATTATTATACGTTACATAACAATACAAATATTAAAATATCTCTTATTGATTATTGTTTTGAAAACTTTTTCAATAGAATCAATTGTTTACGTAAACTATCAAAATTATTCTTAAAGTGTTTAAAACAAAATTAAGTTTTCACTTTATTGAATATGTCAATTAGAGTATCATTTTTTTACTTATATAATATTTTGTAATAATTTTAATTACAAAATCAATATTATAGTGATTGTTACCTTTAGAGGACATTCAAAGTTAAAACAATATTTTTTAAATTTAATTGTTTGATAATCTAATTAGTTTGAGGTTGAAATGTTTAATAAGACATGTCTGAAGACAATCTTCCAAAGTCAATATTAAAACATGGTTGATTCAAATTCTGAATTAGACAAGTTAAGATATAAAAAGTAACTATAAATTTAATTATCTTTATTTTTAAATATAATTACATCAATAATAAAATTTCAAAAATATGTGGATAATGATTAATAATAAATTAACAACAAATTATTAAGAAAATTTTAATTAATATTAACAATAAATACATAATTTTTTTTATATTCTACTTGGGATATTTTTTTTCTTCCAAGTTCCAAGTGTGCTATTGCTTAATACGGTGCTTCTCACAATTACACCGCCATAATCGTTTAATCATGCCTCTTACTTTATTTCTTTATTGTACATCTTCGATATGTTTGAGCAAACTGAATTTGGGGGAGTTTTTGGTTTGTTGGAGGCCCTTATTTTTTGCGGCTTAAAGCTATTGATTTAGTGGCTTTAGGGTTGAGCCGCCCTTGGTAGGTTGACGATTAGCATTAACAACATCGGGGCGGATCTAGGAAATTCTATTGTATAAGCATAATAGATAAATGTACCCTTTAATTTGACTTTAGCTTGTGTCTGTGCCCTCCAATTTTGGGTGTGAACAAGTAAGCACTTACACATGTATAAAATTAAATAAGTAGACACATGCGTCCTACTTGACCAATTTACGTCCTACGTGATCCATGTAGAACACGTGTGTCTACTTGTTAAATTTTATATAAGTTTAAGTGTCTACTTATGCACATCCAAAGTTGGAGGACATAAATGTCAACTGATGTCAAGTTAAAACTTTCTTCATGGGATTCTACTTCATGAGAAGCTAGCTAACAAATTGCAACTAGGACCTAAGTTCTATGTGGTTGGTTTGTCCATGAGAGCCTATCATGTTTTGTACATGAATAAAGTTTAGGGATCATACGTAAAATGGAGTTGCTCTTGTAGGTCCATCCACGAACTATTGGTGGATGAATCAACAGTGGTTCCATTCTTTAAGTGTTATGGAAGGAAATAGTGAAACAGTTATCTGGAGCCCCAAGTCTTGGTGAGGTAAATAGTTTTCTCATTTTCAACTTAATTATATCCATTTGTTCTACAATCAAAATTCTCTATAATCAAATTGTTTGTCCGTATATTTGTTGACTCCTATAGCGAGATGTTGTTGTACAGAACATATAATATCACATAATGTGAAAGTCTGATTCCAAAGAAAACTTGTTTGTAATAGTAAAATATTGTTATAAAGAATGATTGTTATATACTTATATAGAGGTGGCATGTGTCCTATCTAAATGCATTTTTGTTTTGTTGTGTCAAATTGAATCTTTGGTTGCCTTCTCCACATTATGAACTAGAGGTTACAATTAAAATGGTTGGATCAAACTTGGGCAAGTCAAAACGGATCAAATCAATACACGGATCATACGACCCAATTCACCCAAGGTTCGCTTGGGTTGAAATAGGCTAGGTCAAGATGAGTTAAATGACAGTTCATATCCCAAACCGCTGAAAAAATATTTATGTTTCATCTACATCTTACATATTAAATTGTATAATCATCTCTAAAAGTTTAAGTTGTTAATTATATTACTTATGTCAACACGTCTCTTCAAATGGGGACTTGATTCCTTTTAATGAGTCAAGCACAAGCAATTTTTTTTCACCTTTTTAATGGCATTGAGATTTTAATTTGAACCTGGAGTCTCTTGCCTGCTCTGATACCATATTGAATTATGTGACTATTATTTATTAAAGTTTAACCTGATAGAAAGTACAATACTTTTGATCACTTTATTATCTTACGTCTCGATATTGTTAGGGTTTTGCCCTGATTTTCTTTCCTTAATTGAAGTTTTTTTTTTCCTTAAAGAAAAATTAAAGTATTACCATAAATGCTTGAACTTTTTCTGAAAGGAAAATATAGTTTTCTTTCATAGTTGGTTTATTCTTACCTTAGAGGAAATGTTTGGAGATCTATAAATTGAAGATCCCTATTCTTATAGCATAACACAATAGAATCTACAATGTAGACATCTAGAGAGTTTTGTTTATGGAGAGATTTTCTCTTAAACATATTTATGTTTTTTTTTCAATATTATATTAGTTTTATAATATGTAGGTCACTTGACCAAACACTATTAATAATATATTTTTAGTATGTTTTTATTTGTCGTCTAATTTATCAATCTATGATTTGCAAATTATAAGCCTTCGCATAACGCCCTAATCACCTTCATAACCCAACAAGACTTGCCATGGTTAAAAATAAAGTTAAAAATATATGGGTTAAAAATATTTTGTTTTTATTCTTAAAAATTGCAGCAACAAGAATGTTTGAAATTTTTTGGCACACCATATCTAGAAAAAGGTAACACAACAAGGCGAGTTTGAATCATTGTATGATCCAACACAAGTTTCTAATCCTTTCAAAGAGAATGAGGGAAGTGTCCATCTTTGGCAAAGGTTAAGAGGACAAAATTGTACCAAGAAAACTCAATCAATATGTAGCAAAGAAGCTTGGTTGGATTAAATATCATGAAGTTCCTAATGCTAGTCACTTCTTGATTTATGATGCTACTCTATGTGAAACCATCTTGAGGAAACTAGTGAATGAATGAGTAGAAATAGAAAACATTGTGATGAAATAATGGTAATATTCACTAGCCTTTGTGATAAATCAAAAATAATAAAGCTAGTACAATATTATCTATTGTACGTACTATATTTCCTTGATAAAAAATCTAGTAGTAGTGAAGTTGGTTCTTGAATTTGTGGACTAACGTAATTTCCGAATGTATAAATTTTATTTCAAAAAATTTGAAGATCTCATGTCTGAATTTACGATCAAAATTAGACTATTTAACTCTTGAAAAGTGAAAAATGTTATATAAACTATAACAAAAGTGTTGTTGGTTAGGTTGATTTCCGAAATAGAGTTGAAAAGGAACATGTCAGAGTTATGGTTATCAACCAACCATTAATTAGAAGCGGCAATGCCTTAATTAGGGTATTTATTTAAGATAATTAGAAGTTGAATTATGTATAATCGTTATAGTCACAATCTTTGAATTATAAAAGTCAAAGGGGTTCGACATCTAATGGCATGACATGTTCATGGGCAAGCCATAATATCAAATATTTCATCTTATATCCAGCCTTTATAATAACTAATAAGGTTCATAGAAGGACAAATAAGATGCCTCCACTCTTAATAAGACGATTCTTGTTTGAATTTTGTGTATTGAAAAAATAATAATTAAGAAGTGCTTCTCTCTTAATTAGATTTTACGTAATGCCAATCCAAATTAATTGAAGCCCCAGCGCGAGTACCAAACACCAAATACTTATACCTTATCCAAATTCTTACAAGAAGCCTCATTTTCAACTATAGATTAAAACTTTAAATCCATTAATTTTGAATGTAACACTTTTCCAAAAATGAATCCACTACCGT